CGACGACCTGGACGTAACGCGGTTGTTCCGCCAAATCGAATCATTTGATTCAAACGTCTGCGCAACAGGTGGCGCCAAGTCTGGCAGATGCTGTTCCGGTAACTTGTTCAAATTGCTCTAGATATCAGGTCGACAGTTCTACTGTCGATTCCGACAGTGCCCAACATATCCGGTGACACAAACGTTGGACGACTTTTATATTTCTTCTGTCCCGTGCCCCGAAAGCGTCATTTCATCTCACTCATTCCCGCCTCCCCCCCCCCCCTCTTTGCGGGCAATGAGCCATCGCAGGGGCTGAGGACGTTGACAGTATAACTTGCATTTTATAAAAAATCTCCTTTAAGGCCTCCAGCCTTCTGTGTGGAGCGCGGAGCCCCGTGAGAAGGACTTTTAGCGGGCATACTGGTCTTCAACAAGGCGGAAAAACTGTCCGCGTCAATCCGACTCGCGGTCTCACACTGTCTCACGATATTCGCTCCTAGCATGGGCCCGCTCGGCCACTTTTACGTCCCAGGAAGTCTTTAGTCGGACGACACGATTCAGACCAAATGACAGCATCTTGCTTTGTCACTTTTTAATTTCCTCAGAAATTATCTACGAAGTTGGAGTAGTTCAGTTTATTCAAGTTCTATAGGCACAGACCGAGAATTTTATACGTGAGTATTTGGGCCAAAGTACATCAGCCACAGCGGGTAACCGCGTACTATTCATTAACTGCCGACAGGCAGCTAATAGTATACTTTAGGCTAGGGCGATACCATACTAACAGCACAGGTACTAGCCAAAAGCCCATACACGCGTGTTTCGCCGATGTTTTGTCCCTGCATGGCACAGCTGCGAGGGGTTCGGCTCGTCAGTGGGTCCCCAGCAGCGACAATTTCTAAATTGGTGTATCTGCCAGAAAACACACGAGGAATGCTGGGGGACCCACTGACGAGCCGAATTCCTCGCAGCTGCGCCATGCAACGGCAAAACGTCGGCGAAACACGCGTGTATGGGCTTTTGGCTAGTACCTGTGCTGTTAGTATGATATCACCTAACCCTAAAGCATCTTGGTTTGCCTACGCATACGCCACACACGAACCTGCTCCACACCATGCGCATGCGCGACAAGGCAACATACCACTCCTGCGATTCACTTTACCACCGTCGTTATTTGGACCAGGACCTGTCCAGCACAAGTAGACAAGCTGTTCAGCCGGGTCAGCCACTGCCCTCCGTCCCGTCTGGCAGGGTTGGGCAGTCCAGCGCTGCATGGGAGAACGAAGAGAGTCAGGCTGACTGTCTAGCTGCCAACCGACGGGATAACTCGGCCCCTTTTTAAGGACTCAGAGTCCGGATGCAATGACCTCCTCCTCTTGGGACTCTTCTAGCATTCTCTGGCACGCTCGAAGTGGGGTCCGGATCGTGTGTGGCACGCGTAGAGGGGCTGATTCGATTTGTCCGCCACCGTCCCGACAGCCATCTTCATTTGCCACAGTTTTGTCTTGTTCATGTGGGTACAAGAACAGAGTGTGGTTGTCTAGCCGGATCAGTTACTGCCCTCCGCCCCATCACTAGTTGTCTGGCGGGTTCGGGCAGTCCAGCGCTGCATGGGAGTGAGGTCGGCTGAAGCTCTTGGTTTTATCGCAGTGTGCTAAGTTTTCTGGTCTGCCTAGTTGCCAACTGACGGGATAACTCAGCCCCTTTTCAGGACTCAGAGTCCGGATGCAATGGCTTCCTCCTCTTGTGCGGAACCCGAATCGCCCCATCAGTCGTCTGGTACGCCTGAAGTGGAGTCCGGACCGTGTGTGTAGCTCGCGTAGAGGGGCTGATTCGATTTGTCCGGCACAGTCCCGACAGCCATCTTCAGTTGCCACAGTTTTGTCTTGTTCGTGTGGGTACAAGAGCAGAGTGTGGTTGACGCCGTCCATATTCGCTTTGTTGTGAACAGATGCGTGCTCAAGTCACCACTGCTTCCACCTGGACCTGATTGCATATGACACCGAGATTCTCGTAAACTTCCTGTGTACTCCAAAGACGCCCACATCTACTATGCCTTTAATGTGCGGGCGGTCGTCGGTGACGGTACCCGCGCTAAGACCAGGAGCAAGTTGTTGGTAGAGAAAACTCGGGTGAAAACCTCCCTTGTCTACCTTTAAGCGCACAGAACTCAGCGATTTATATCTGTCAGCAATTATCAGTAGAGAAAACCCCTAATCGCGGATAAGAACGTTTTGAGGGAGCATAGGAAATACATGTCGAGTGTTCTTGTTCTTTTTTCGCTGTCAGATATCTTGCGAGCATAAAGGTGAATGTGCTCTGGTGCCGGAGGTAGGGCTTTTTTGCAGCCTTCATTTTACGCGACTCCAGCCTCTCAGGCCATCACATAGTAGCTAACTAGATCTAACGTCTTTTTATACGCAGGCCAATGGCGCAAATGCAACTATCACATTCCTTATAATAATACTTAGCAGCTTAATGTTGTCTACGACATCTCACGCGCTACTTGCCTTTTCGCGTACTTCGGTCACACAGGTATTTGCTTGCCGTTTACGTGGCCACCTGTCTCTTGTTTTTATACGCACTCGAATGCATCATGGTCCCCAGAGCACACGAGTTTCTTTTCCCGAACATTCTGCCAGCTATGGTTAATTGTCGTGCCGACCTCGGCGCGTGCCCGCCTTATTCTTGTTTTGTGCCTCCTAAAACAACGACTGACTGACGACCGGCCGTTTGCTTTAGCCTAAACGCGCTATATCAGACGTGAGCAGAGCTATACAAATCCGTCATCCCGCACCCCCCGAGGAACTGTCACCACAAGTCCCCCGTCTCGTAGCTTGTCATGAATATTCTGTTTCCTTGGTCTGACCGGTCGTTTCTTCTAACGGTCGTTCGTTAAAAGTGGTGGGTGCAAGAAAGGAGTATGATTGGTGCTTTGCAAATTTCATCTTATGCAGAGTTAGGTCTGCTTGATTCAGGTTGTTGGCCGAAACCTCCTGTTTCCACACAGAACTCAGCGATTGGCATCGCACTTTAACTATCAGTTAAAAAAACACACAAATTCTCAGATGTTCTCCGATTTTGAGGACAGCTATTCCTCACTGAAGAAGCGGAGTTTCTTTGAAACTGCTCCATCGTGAAGAAGAAACCGTTGGCGGAGTGTAAAAATCACGTGTGAAACATGCCTATTGCTTTCTCGCTGTCGGACATCTGGTGGCCATGCTAAACGTACTCTGGTATCAGGGGTAGTGCAGACAGAATAGCGGGGAGTTTACGCCACGTGTTGACTTTATTTTTCCTAAAAGTAGCCTCTCAAGCCACCACATGGCAGCTAACTGGGTGTAACGTCTTTTTATGCTGAGGCAAATGTTACCACTGCAGAAATCTTCCGCATAGTCAGCAGACCAACTCTTCTGCGGCGTCTCATGCACTTCTTGTCCTTGTGGTTATGTCGGCCATAAAGGTAGTTCGCTTGAAC